TGTGTGTGTGTGTGTGTGTGTATGTGTATGTGTATGTGTATGTATATATATGTATATGTATATATATATATATAGTGTGTGTGTGTGTGTGTGTATGTGTGTGTATGGGTTATATTCTAACATATGAGAGAATAAACTGAATAGCAAACTGATTTATATCTGGATTTATACCTTGGATCATGGTGGACATAGCCAGGGGTTTGTTGTTTGTTGTTTGTTTTTTTAGACAGGGTCTCACTATGGAGCCTTAGCTAGCTTAGGCTGTTCTATATTTCTAAACATACTGCTTTCTAACTTCACGCATTGGTTTTCAAACCAATACAAAGCAGGCTAGTACAATATCATATCTAATTTTGTAAATGTTCTCAGTTTTCCCCTGTCTATACCCAGAAGCAAGCATTTTGGTCATTAAGTATATTACTTGACAGTGTTAAAGGACAATATTTAATTGGGGCTGGCTTATACTTCCAGAGGTTCAGACAATTATTATCATGGCAGTAAACACAGCAGTGTCCAGGTAGGCCTGGCCTTGGAGGAGCTGAGAGTTCTACATCTTCATCCAAAGGAAGCCAGGAGCAGACTGTCCAGGAAGCTAGGAAGAGGGTCTCAAAGCCCACCACCACAGTGACACAATTCCTCCAACAAGGCCACACCTTCTAATAGTGCCACTCCCTGGGCCAACCAGATTTAAATCACCACAGACTTGAATTATAGGCTTGATACTTTTCCGGTGATTGTATTCCACAGAACAAGGTTGTTTAAGTCATTGCTGAGCCCTCAGATCTTCTCTCTTTCTCCTCCTCCTCCTGTTCTTCCTCCTCCTCCTCCTCTTCTTCCTCTGTCTTGTGTTTTTTGGAGTCACTGCTGAGGGGTTGGGAGAACGTCCATGTGAAATTCTCCATTCTCTGTGGAGCTGAGCATTTTCTTGGGAGTCTTCCTTACATCAGCTACTCCAGGCCGAGCTACTCATCTTCCTGTGAGATAGCGAGCTCTTCACTTGCACTGCAGTTTTCTCCATGCGGACTGCAAGCATAACTAGGCTGCAGGCTTTGGTAGGGGCTGAGCATTTGGCTTTGAGAGATGGGTTGGGTTTTTTTGTGGATTTGAGTTCACCTTTGGCCTGATCTCATTTTAGACCTAGGCACTGTCTCCTTGGGTTTATGTTCTAGAAGATGGGCTTACTGTTAACTGCCTGAGGGAGCACTACCAAGGCCTTTGCCTTTATTCACTGGGAGCCCTGGTCTTGGAGTCTGACCAAGCCCTCAAGTGGACAGATAGTGCTCCTGGTTATCACCACTATGCCCTTAGTGCTGATCTACAAGACTTTCCTGATTCCAAATCACCAGACAAGCTCATTATCTGAAAAAGCTTAGGCAGAACCATTTTGAAAATGATGAATTTTGCTAATATATTTATTTGCTTTGTAAAACAAGATCTAGTTGTGTCACTAGATTTTTTTTTAAAAATTTATATTTCTATCTACTGAATTTTCTTCAACAGAGGAACCTCTCCACTTAGGACAAATGTATCTTCAGCACAAAGCTGGAACTCTTTCCATTTAGAATAACATAGATACACACAGTCTTGAATTTAGTAGCTAATAGAGACAGAGTCTTAACTAAATTGCTCAGGCTAGTCAGAATCACTCTGTAGCCTAGGCTGGCTTTGAATTGCCATTATCCTAATTATCTGTACTTACAGCTGTACCACTCCATGTCTGGAAGTTTTGAATTTTTGTGTTTTCATTTGGCCTCTGACTAGAATTACATATGAGTTTTCTCAGTTACAAAAGCTATTTTGTCTCTTTGGTTTGGTGGGAATGACAGCTGTACACATAAGGGTTCCTCCTTGAATTTCTTTATCTCACCATGCCATTCCCTCTGGAGCAAGGAGGTAGGGACTTGAGTCAGCTCAGTGAGAGCTGAATAGTTAGTCCTGGGAAGACCCACGAACTCAACTCTATATGTATCATGATCTACTCTTGAGTGATTTTAGAATAGACTTAAACTCCAGGGAGCCTCTCTTTGGTCTAAGCTCATTTGACAAGGTAGCCCAGTGGAAGGATGGGCCTTGAATCTGACCACTTGGCTCTAAGTGCAAGCCCCACTGGCTACCATGGTAATTGTTCTGTAAGGAAGATGTAGCCACTCACCTGGGGAGAAACACATCCATCCTGGCTCTCTTCAGCCTTGTAGTCCAGAAGTGGATGACTCTGGCTGTGAGGTGTGGTTCAATGTGGTCCAGAGGGGTGCTCTTGTCTTGGGGAAGCACCAGGAGTAAACTGGCCACCCTTCCCAGGTACAACAGCTCCAGAACATCTACCTCATGGCCTGCAGCATCCTGGAACTGGCCTACGGGTTCAGCGGATCAGGAATTAGCTCTGTCCTAGGAGCCAGGGAAACCCAACAATGCTACAACTTGGAGTAGAGAGACTTATAAGGCAGCAACAGTAAAACAGGGTGTTTTCCTCAGCTTCAGGAAGCAGTCTGAGACTGGGAACTGTTGGGTGACATGGCCCCTTTTGTGTTCCTAAAGCTCTCTGAGATCTCCCATGGAGCCTTGCTCAAGTATCTAGCCACTGGGTCTGCTGGGGCAGTGTCTTAGGGAGCCATCCAGTCTGAGCTTATTAGAGCTTAGGCTCTTTGTGTTACATCTTATCTTTCAAGATAAGTCTCTAAATATACATTTCATATGAAAGATACCCAACTCTTGAAATATTCTACAGATCCAACAAAACACACATTCTGTCTGGATTTGACTTGAAGACTAATCATTTCTATGACTTAAACTGTCTTCAGAATGGGCAGCTGGAAGTCTGTGGGCAAATCCAAGTCCAGGCCACCAGGTGGATGGAGTGCAGTTATAGAAGGATATGATGGGACAGGTGACAGATAGCAGCAGAACACGCTGAGCTGGGAAATGGTTGGCACTGCTGGGGGAATGTAGAAAGGTGGAGGACTGTTTTGTGTGAACCCACCGTATGTTGTAGCTCATACTTAGCACAGAGCCTGCTAGCATCTATAGCACACATGAGGTCACCAGGCATCTGCTGGCACTGGGAACCTCCCCTACTGACTGAGACAAAGAACCATAGGCAAGAAGGCCATACAGAGCAAGAAGGCCATACAGAGCAATGGCATTTCAGGACCAGGGATCCTTTAGTCTGGAGGCCTTTTAGCCTTCATTTGGTCCTGGCTAGGTATTGTGTCATGAAGGTGTCTTCTAGGAGAGGGATTTGGTCCAAGTATTTTTGATTCCACACAAATATCTTCTTAATCGGTGTGGAGGCCAATACCAAACATGGAATTGTGTCCTCAGCACTCAGATGGGCATACCATTCAAGGCCCTCTATAAGCCTCCTGCTATCATGAGCCTACCCACAGCCCAGAGAATGGACCCCTAGAGAAACATGTCTCCATCCAATCCTGTAAAACAGAGCCTACCTCCCCTCTCTTGCCCATGTTGCTGAATTTCCTCCAACTTTATGAATTTGGAGAGAAGAACTTACCATAGCTGACCTCTGCCACTTGGTGCATCGTTGGGACCTGAAGCACAAGGCCATGAGCACAGGTGAAAGGCAGGGGCTTCGAGGCCACGGAAGAGAATCTCTTCTGCCAGGTACTTTGGAAGGTCATGGTGCTCACGATGGAGAGTTGAGTAGACAGGGAACCAGCTTGGTCCCACATCAGGCTACCTGGGCCTTCACCTGTAGATGGAAGAGCTTCTCTCCAGCTTCCTGTTATTTTTAGTTTACTACTAAAGTGTTATTTCCTTGTGCTGCCAAGGGCCCCACAGTGGCCATGCAAACTGGCTTTTAATTTATTGTCATGGAAATGGAAAGTAAGGACCGCAGGATTCAGACTGGGTCCCTAATGACTGAGCTCCTGCTATGAGGCAGTGAGTCACCTTATAATTTAAATTATAGCCTTCTTGTTAGCATGCATTCAGTATGGCCTCCCTCCATGTTTCCACTAGTGCCTAGGATGTCCCTGGTTGTGTTGAGTCATTTCCCAGAGATCATTAGGCATTATCTCCCCAGACAGATGCTTGCACGGATGAGGCTCTTTGACTGGAGAAGACTGCACTGTCACCCAACCTTGGGACTTGCTAATTGCTGTGCTGCATTCCTCTCCACACCTTTGTGGAGATAACTATGACCAGAACACACTTTGGGGAGGGCTGTGGTTAAAATTTCATGTAAGAACAGGAAAAAGCAAGCAGATCGTTCCTATAGAGCCAGCTTCTGCCCCAGGCCTTCAATTGTTTAATAAATACACTCTGTGGTAGGCTCTGCCTAAATGCTTGAGGAAATCTCCACAACTTTTGGTTGTCATTCTTCAGTTCCCCAGATGTGAGAAGTGAAGCTCAGGAAAGTTGGTCACACACCACTATCTACCCAGTCCCCCCCAAAAGGAGCCTTGCACTTGAATCTGAGCAGATATGGTCCATACCCGTGCCTCTTGGGTTGAGAAAGACCAAGTCTTTCTTTTTCTTAAAGAACAGGCTGGGAGTTGAGAATACCTATGTTGGATTTTGAGTGGATCCCTTGACAGCTCAAGGGAGATATAGGGAATCACTCCTTAATTAAAACATATTTTAACTCTGTGTCTGTGTGTTTGCTATGTATGGGTACATGCATGTGAAAGCTGGTAACCTTGGATGCTGGAAGCAAGCATCGGATACTCCAGAACTGGGGCTAAAGGCAGTTGTGCGCTACCTGATCCATCCTCTTTTAATAGTTGAACCATTTCTCTGGCCCCAAGGATCAGTCCTTTAAAAGTCGATTGCCAAAGCTATTGTAGAGTATTTGAAAATGTTGAGGGAGTACAGCCTTCAATCCACATACATGGCAGCTATTCTGCATTTAAGCAACTCTGGATCTTGAACATTCTCTATTTATCTGAGTCTTTTGTGTGCTTACCAAGAACAGAGCAGCCAAACTACCTGGATCAGAATGTGACCCTGGCTTTGTGGCCCATGGGCAAGCAGGAAACTCAATCCTGGTGTTTTAGTTTCTCTATCTGTAAAATGGAAACAACACCCATGTTCTAGGAGCAATGGGCGAGTGAAATGGAATCAGAGATTCCAAGTGGCAATAAATAAATAAATAAATAAATAAATAAATAAATAAATAAATAGATAAGTTAAAGGCCAGCAGGTGTTAGTCATTTCTGCTCATTTCGTAATAACCATAGCACATAGCGCTGCCACTGATGATGGCATTACACATAGCATGCTTCCGACAAAACCAAGGGAAACATACCGAGTATAACTTGTCCCTTTTGTGTGTGTCTCTCTTTAACCTAGCTTTCCCAGAAACTACTTTTCCTGGCCCCTGCTGCATTTTGCTGTCACATGGGGTTAGTGAAAAATGGCCTGGGGACAGTGACATGGGACAAATTCTATAGGGTATTTCCATAGGTGGTAGGCTCTGAGGAGCACCTTTCTGTGTCCATGCTTTCAAGTATATGTGTGTATATGCATGTACATGTGTACTTGTGCTAGGGTACAAAGAGGGAGGAACAGAGGGGGCACAGGATATGCATGACATTCAAGGGTAGGTCTGCTATCTCAACATCTGCTGTAATTCAGGGCACCTTGAACCTCTCCATGGCTTCCGACAAATGATGGCTGGCGCTATATCTTTGAGCCCTTAGCCTTGCTGAGGAGGGTGGTTTTCCTTTACCTGTGCTCTGTCCGGATATGACTTTGGAGGCCTCTGTGGTAGTGCTATTAGGCTGTCTGAAGTCAGTTGGCTCCAGACTGCTGTTGGCCCACCGGGAGACCTGCTCCACAAAGCAGGGAGACAGAGATGTTCCGGTTTTCATGAATAAGGTACAGGCCAGCTCCATCCCGATTCCTTGACTGGAGTTGTGCAATATGGTATAAACAGTGTGCAGGAATTCTCTCACTCTTGGGTCTGTGAGAAAGGAGTATTTGTAAGGGCTTACACAGCTTCCACCTCCAGGCTGTCTCAGAAGGCATGTTCGCCCCAAGGTTCCCTAGTCAAAATCCACTGAACCCCACTCCTTAAAAGTTGGACCACACCGGGCAGAGGTGGCACGTGCCTTTAATTCCAGCACTTGGGGGGCAGAGGCAGGTGGATTTCTGAGTTCGAGGCCAGCCTGGTCTACAGAAGTGAGTTCCAGGACAGCCAGGGCTACACAGAGAAACCCTGTCTATAAAAGTCAAAAAAAGAAAAAAGAAAAAAAAAAGGTTGGACCGAAAACATGCTAGATCACAAACAAACCTAGCTGGGAGAGAGAATCTGCCAGTGCCTTGGAAATGGTGAAACTGTACTTTGACTTCCTGATTCAGGGACATTGCTGAATTCTGGAGGAGAGTCTAGATCAGGAGCTGTAGAGGTCCAGTGTGACACAGTGGAATTTCTAACAGGAAGCCAGAGGAGTTCTGTGCAGTATTGTAACAAGGATGGACAGTGGTTGAGGAGCTGCTGCCCTAGTTAGAATTCTGAACGGTGATAAAGACCATGACCAAAAGCAACTCAAAGGGTTGGAAAGGGTTTATTTTGCCTTATAGTTTGTAGTCTACTACCGAGAGAAGTCAGGTCAGAAACTCAAGGCAAGAGCCTAGAGGCAGTAACTGAATCAGAAACCATAGAGGGACTGGCTTGTCCCCTGTGTCTTGCTCAGCCTGTTTTCTTATACATCCTGGGACTACCTGCCTAGGTGGCAGCACCCAAAAGTGGGCTGGGTCCTCTCACATTAGTTGTTAATGAAGAAAATGCCACATAGACTTGCCTACGGGCCAATCTGAAGCAGGAATTTTCTCACCTAAGGTTCCTCTCCCCAGGTCAGCCTATCTTATGTCAGAGAGCTGCCTTGTCCACATGTTTCATCTGAGATCTCACATCCAGGGGTTTACTGTGCTAACCCTGGATTCTCTTAAGCTGCTTTTCTCAGATGTTTCATCACAGCAAAGAGAAAAGCAACAATACAGGCCTGAGACGATCATTCTTAGAGCCAGAACTATTGAAGTAGTAGAGCGATGGGCTGAAAGTGGATTTCTGAGCCTGATTTGTCCCTGCCCATCTGCACACAGAGAAGAGCCCTTACGTATGTTCCAGAATTGGCAATGCTAGAAAAAATTCTTAAAGCTTCATGGTATCTACAAACATTGCACAGGACATTCTACAGTCTAGGTTACAATGAATGTTCTCAGTGATGCTTTGAAGTAAGGGGTATGGTCCTTCTACTATAGGGAGGAGGCAGATGAGGGACAGCCCACTGATCATGTACTTAAAGTCACTTCATCCTGTTGCCTACAGAGTGAGGAGTGGCTGGGTTTAAGAAGACCTTGCTTGGGAGAGCTCTGTTTTCTAGATGAACGGGTACTGTACAGTACATCGATTGGGGAGGACAGTTGGGGGGCTATATTTACTGCATTCTAGAGTATGAGTTTTCAACCTGTGGTCTTTTAATACAGTTCCTCATGCTGTGGTGACCCATGATCCTAAAATTATTTTTCTCACTACTTCATAATTGTAATTTTGCTACTGTTAGGAATTGTAATATAAGTATCTGTGTTTTCTGATGGTCTTAGGTGACCCCTGGGAAAGGGTCACTTGACTCTCAAAGGGGTTGTGACCAACGTATTGAGAACTGCTGTTCTAAAGCTGTCTAAATGGTCTGAGACCAGGGATAAGGCTCTCCAAGAGGAAGCTGCCACTGCCGCTTCCTGCTCAGTGTCCTGCTGCCAAAGTAAAAAGGTGGAGGGTGAGGGCCTGTAATTGGTAGTTTGAACAGGGTGCTGAGAGAAGAAAGGAAGAAGAAGAAAATAAACCCGCAGTGACTAAAAGAAAATCACTTTGTTAGCTAGTCTGATAGGTGACTCCCAGGCTGGTGGGTCTGGCCTCTGGAAGGTTCTGAACTCTGCAAAGTTCTAGACTCTGGAAGGTTCCTGTCCATAAAACTTCAAACTATGAGACCTGTCTTCTGAACACAGATATTTTAATATTCAAGAGCTCTGAGAGGGGTAATGGGGGTGCTCCTGGGCAGGTGTGGTCAGGCTGGGAGGACGAAGCTGCCTCTGGTGAGAGAGGTGCTTATGAATGTACACATCGCTTCCTGGCCCTAGTGGAGCTTAGGAGGCCTGGAGAAAGCACAAGATTTGGAATCAACAATCGGGAACTTGAACCCTGGCTTTGTCACTTGCCCCTGGGCCAATGAGTTTTGCTGAATCATTTACCTCCTGTGGTAGCTAGTCTGTGGGACTCAAATGACATGGTCATAAAAGAAAACACAGTATGCCTTACAAAGCAGGATTCTTCTCCTGGGGTGAGACCACCTTCCATTTTGTGGAAGCCTATGTGCTATAATGTTTTCATTAACTCACCGAGAAGGATAATGACAATGCTGATAAATTGAAGCAGTCAGAAATTATGTGTTCCCCATGGACAGAAGATCCAGAGAACCCAAGCTGGATCTGACTTTAAAGCCTCTTCCCTGAGGACCAGCTCTTGGAGTCCTAGCGGTTGCTATGCAAGTTTCCAAGGGAAGAGAGCAGCCAGTAAGTAGTCCTACCCAGCAGAACCATGCAAATGACCAGTGTGGCACGAAAGGCCCCTAGTGGCACTCGTGTCTCGTCAGTGACCAACAGCTGTCTAATTGAACTTAAGACCCATTCAACAGGAGGGACATCATCCTTGATACGGGAAGCCTAGTCGACTCCTCGGGGATAGTGAGACCATGGGTCTTAGGGGAGAGCCTACAACCAGCACTTTATTAAACCGGCATAATTCCTAAATGTGTTCCAGATAGCTATCCTTTATATCTAGAGAAAAGAGCAGCTCTCAACTCTCATCAAAGACACTTCTCTTTGCAATATATTGGAGGCCATTTACAGAACACCCCAACTGGTCAAAATGCTGTGCACAAGTGATTATATGGTTGTCAGACCCAACTGATAACATCTGCAGCACATAAGGCTTAGGGAACAGTGGGAGAGGGGCTGAAAGATTGTAAGAACCTGAGGACCAAGAAATCTATTGTGAGATTGTATCTTCTACAAATGACAGGGAAGTTTTACCCATCAGATCTCAGCAATATGGCAGCCTAAACAAGACCAGAACAAGCACAACTCAGGCAGACATGCTAATAGAGAAGGGAAAACTCAGGGGGCCTTAACCCTAGACAAAGAACTACAGGCAACTAAGGGGTGCTGAGAAAGGAAGACATAGCCTTCCTCAGGGAAGAGCCTCTCCCTAATTGGTTATCCAATAGCAAGTGGTCAAGCCCTGAAATCATACATGTACAAATAACATTAAATGTACCGAACAGGTTACATTTATATAGTTAGGTATATATACATGTGTGTGTGTGTGCGTGTGTGTGTGTGTGTAAAACAATAACAAATAAAAGGAAGCCATGATTCCATGATGGAGCTGAGGGAGGGGTATGCATGGGAAGGATTTGAGGGAAGAAAGGGGAGAGAGAAAATGATGAAATTATATTTAAATTAAAAATAAAGAGTATATTAAAATGTAAGGTATATGTGTGTCTGTGCACATTAGTGAAATGTCCACAGAGGCTAGAAAATGCTACTGGATTTCCTAGAGCTGGAGTTACAAGTGTTCATGACCTGTCTGACATTGGTGCTGAAAACCAAATTTGGGTCCTCTGCAAGAGAAATCTGAGCTCCCAACTTCTATGCTATGGATGTCTTTCCAGCTCCGTGTTACCTTTTAAAGAAAGCCTGGGTTGCGGCAGGCAGCTGGCACTGCTGTATAATTTCAAGCAGGCTCAGTGCGACTGCAGTGGAGAGCATGATAAACGGGAGTCTAATGGCATGCTCCTGTTATCACTAACTGAGGGTGGCTCCATGCAATGGCAAAGCAGCATGTGGTTCAGAAACTTAGGGGGATTATTGTCCTGCATAGAGTTCCTGCCATCTAGACAATATCTGATAGGCTCTGCGGAAGCCTCAGTCTTGTCATCATACATGATCAACCAGTTAACCAGATACCATGATGAGATATGGTCTCAGAACTGACCCTCTCTTGCATGTCCCACTGAGACCCTTCATCCTGACTTGTGTGAGAGTCTGTTGAAGGCTGAAGTGCCTGCCTTTTCTGTATTAATCACATTTCTTCTTCCTGACCAGCTTGGATGTACTATCTTCTGGGGAGCCTCCGACCTGCTCGGTGGAAACACAGAACCATGCAGCATCCACCCCCTCGTCTGCATGTATGGCTTCCTCAGAGAGAGTTGCTGCTTTCAGAGTTCTCCTCACATGCATAAGACAAGTTCCTGACCAGCCATGGTCTATATTGCAAGAGCACCGCAGCGCTTGGTGAATCATATCGTGCTGACTCTAAAGGAGCCTGTGGATGTGTGTGCTGCTGAGAACGACTGAGTTCTAAAAACTATCTTTGGTTTCAGTTGTCCCTAGAGAGAGCATACCTATCAGTTGTCCAGCAGGATTGTAAGATTTATTTTAGCAGTGGTCAGGGTATGCATTGAGGAGGGCGGGCAGTTCAGGAGGCACCTGGTGCCAGACATGTTGAGTGCTAACCTTGATTTGCTAGCTCAGGGGTCCACCCCCAGAGGAAGCCATGGCCAGGCTGAGTTGGCATTATTTCTTGTGCCTTCTGACAAGTCTTAATTCATCCAAAGACTACTCCTGTCAGTTTTAGTGATGCTCATTGTTTTGTTTGTTTTGAGATGGGGTTCCTGCTACATAACCGACTGTCTTGGAACTAAGAAATCCATATGTTTTATATTGACATCTTATCCTGAGATTGAGAAGGGAAGACCATGTTTGCCTTGCTCAGATATTGAGCTGCATCATGAGTGCAGGTTAATGCTGAGCTGTGTTCTAAAGACTGTCTCTGCTGTTAGCAGCTGTTTCGAGAAACAATATGTAGATATAAGCTGGCAGAAACCTCAGAATCATGAAAACAGGTTGGTTGAAATCATAGTCCTGGGTCTAAAGAGTGTGCATTTAAGTCCGGCCCTGCCCCTTATTGACTATGTGACTCCCAGCAAGTTGTCCCTACCCTTTGCCTATCTACTTCCCCAAATAGAGGTGCCAATGAAATCACCAACCTCAAAAGGGTTGTTGAGCCAATCGGTGAATCTTTAGAAGGTGTTCCCCACCCCTTCCAGCCACAGCAAGCAATCTAAAAGGGGCAGTGACTCAAAACTGTCGTTCTGCCATGGGGCTAGAAGGGAGTCTCCACAATCAAGAACAACCATGGTAAAAGTCTGAGTGCTTCAGGAAAGGCCATGCCTCTGTCTCTGTGCACATGGAGATCTGAGCTCCACACCGAGAGCGCCTGAGCAGGGTGGAGCAGGGAACAGGGCTGAGAGGAAGTGGAAGAGAGAAGCTTCTTACCTTGCACAGTATATCCTAGGGCCCCTGCCAGCTGCCAGCCAGTGTTGCCTCTGGCTCCAAACTGCAGGATCTCCAGGGAGAGGGACACACTGGCAGGTGAGATGACAAAGTTTGTCCCGTTTCTCTCTGCTGCTGCACTCCGGTAGAGGTGGAGGGCAAACTCAGTCTTCAACAGCCACAGGCCTTCACTGAGGGGGCTGCCTCCTCCTGCTGAGAAGCAGGAGGAGAGGAGAAAGAGGGTGACCTGCAGGAGAGGCAGCATGGAGACTGGACACCTGCAGTTCAGAGGGAGGAGAGGCAGAAAGAGGATGCTGATGACAGGGATGAGATCACGTCTCATCACCTGAAAACTGGGGCACCTGGCTCTGTTTTCAGTGGCCAGAGATGGCCCAAAGGACAATCTCGTTATACTTTCTTGGTTACCCACCATGCTCCTACCTGTCTAGGCTGCTTAGATGGGCTGCGATTCTTTTGAAATCTCAACCCTGTGCTGGAAGATCTGCTCCTCTTACTGCATGTGTGGCCTTGGAGAAGTCCTGGTTATAGCAAAACAAGTCATTATGCTAGGAAAAGAGATGTCAAAAGTGCATCCTATGGTTTCTTAGTACACAGCTTATAGCTGGGCCATGTTTCTCAGGAGTCATCATAATATTAACCATATTCAAAGTTCATCTTCTATGCTAAAAAGATTATATATTCTTGGTTGATATTCTCACCATCATACTGGATATCATAACTATAGTCATGTGCTCTAGAGAACTCAGTGACACATTTGGTATGGGGAGAAAAACAGAGCTATGACAGATCCTGGCCTCTAAGAGCACTACATGAAATATCAAGAACGTATGTGTACGTTCAGAGAGTGATGCATAGGATAACTGGGCCTAGAATAGTAGATCCCATGCTACGGAGTGGATTATTCCACAGAGAGTAGAACAATACAGAGAAAGCCCCTCCTCAGAACCGTGCCATCCCAGGAAGAGGGGCTACTGAGAGTAAGGAAGGAATGCCAGAAGGGAACAAAAAGAGCAGAGCAGAGCACTTTCATTGTGTGTCAACAGATAGACAGTAGCAATCTTTGCTAAGTGCTTCAACTGTGGAACCAGATTAGGCTGATGGGAGACAGATGCCCAGTCCAAAGCACTTCCTATACAAGCTTATAAGCAAGGCCCTGGGGTCAGAGGTATTCACTTTAAATAAGATTCAAGAGAAAAAACCACGTTCCCCAGCTCTTCCCTTCATGGCTGAACACAACAAATGCACATGACCTAGGAACCCATGGAGTGGGAATTTGCATGAGTATGTATGTCTAGAGAGAAAGTAGGCTTTAGTCTAAGGTCATTAGTGAAATCTTCAGGTCCTACTTTGAGAGCTAGTGCAGTTTCTACCAGTTCCCAAGACAGGAACACTAGCAACCCTTAGCAAATAGACTTTGATGTCCGGACTCCTCGAGACCCAGGTCCTGCCATGACTACTAGGGATGAATTGTATACTCACCGACTCCTTAACAAGTGGTAGTTTCTTTGTTTGATTCTGTTCTTGTGCCTGGAGCATCAACATGCTGCTCTTTTTAAAAGAGCAGAGCAGAATGTGCTCTGAATCACAAGACATCCCGGGAGGAAGCTGGCAATTGCCGTCTCTGCCGGCGATGTCTCTACCACTCCGTCCAAATTCCTGGAGTGTGGAAGTTCTGCAGGGAGCCAGGAGAAGCAACTCAGCTCTAGGCAGCAAAGCCCAGATGAGAGCAGAGTACGCCTTGGGGACAGAGCCAGCCATGCCCATCAAGCCTTCTAAGGCTTGTGACCTGGTCGTACCAGCAAGGCACCCTCCATCTAGCCCTTTATGACTTTGAAGAATTCCGAGATAACTCTGGGTTTTGCTGGGTGCCAGGTACCTAATGCCTCTCCCCTCCTCCTGGAAACAAAACAATAGATCAGTCTTTGAGCATGACCTGAAACTTTCAGCAAGTGCAATGCTGAGAAAGAAAGAAAAAAAAAGCAAGCAGTGCAAAGTCTGGTTCAATCAGGTTAGAGCAAGACAGCTGGCCTCACCTGTTATTAACAAAAGCGAGTGTACTTGCTGTGTAATATGAGCCCTACAGCAGTTCTCAGATAGAGCGTAACAAGCCCACTATAATAATTTAAGAAAGAGGGATCCTGTGGGGGTCCCTTTAACTTGACAAGTGCTCACACCCCTACAATCAGTGGGCAATTCACTTTAAATTTTAATCATAGATATTCAATCCAAGGTTTTTTTGGGTCTTAGGATAGTTACAGTTCTGTAGCTGTTTCATATGAAATCTCTTCAAATCTTGAATTTTGATGTAAATTCACTATCGTGTGTCTTGGACTGTAAGCTACAGTATGGCAGGAGAAAGAAATGTATTTAACTCCTGTTAAAGTACCCAGAGAAAGCATTCCATCCATTCATGCATCCAAGAACTAGCTCCTGACTGCCTGCTGGGTTCTGAGGCTCTGGGCCAGGTCGGGGGAATGTAGCATTGAATCAGCAACCTGGGGTTCACTCTCACTGGACTCCGTCTTTCTCTTTGAATGCGGATTTAGATGTTCACATGGACAGTGTTAAACAGAAAGCTGCAGTAAATCCAAGGGCTTTCTTGAGACACCTCAAAGTTCTTAAGGGTGGGCTTACTTTAGCAAAAGTCAATTAATTAAGTAATTGCCAATAGCATATGGAGAGATGCCTGAAAAACGACCTCTGAAATTGGGCAATCTGGCTGTGTCGCTTCTGTGAACATGATTTCCTAATTTTATGAATGTACAGTTCTAAACTGCCTTTGAAAACATTTTCATGAAACAATGCCAGGGAAACTTAAAATGCTAGAGATATTTCTCACATGGATTAAATATTTCAATGTGTGGATGAATAAAATATGAATAGCAACTGATGTTGTTTTGGTGTACTCAGCAGAAGCTGGTATGTCATCATGGTCCCTGATCAGTTATGGAGATTTCACGTTAGCTTCCATCTTGTCAGGATGGATATTGATTATTTATATGGATATTGGTTATTTATATGGATATTGGTTTTCATAGCCATAAAAACAAGCAACGTGAACATTATGGAGTATATCCTCTGTGTTCTATGAACTGTTAGATACTTTCCATTCACAGCTGCACATTGTGTAAATCCCCATAACAATTCCATGAGGGCACATATTATTCCCCTTTCTCAGAGAGAGAAACTAAGACAGAAGAACTCAAGATTCTGTTGAGGCTTGAACTTATAGCCCACTGCTTTCACTCTCAGGCTTATATTATTTCCCACAGCCTTAATGATGTCTGTTAAGGGGCCAAGACATTAGGTTTTTTGAATTCTCCATGGGATTCTAAGACTTTTGATAGTCTATCCAGACTCTATGGACCATGCTTCTAGATTGCTTTCATTTCTCAGGGCTGCTCTGGTGAAGCTCCTCTAGACAGACGAAGTGCAGTGCTTTTAGATTATGATACTTCTCTTCATTCCTTCTGATCACCCTGCTGTATACCTCCTTCAGATCCTTCTCTCTTGCTTTGGGACTCACTAGTTCTGAGCCTATTCCCAACTAGTGACTTTCCAGCAAGCACATGTAGCTGGAAGACACAAGCCATTTCCACCTTCTGGGTTCTCCAGAGCCCTTGCCAACTACCTGGATGGGACCCTCTCATTGTCCTATCCCATCTCTAAACCCAGAATCAGTCCACACTGTCTCAGGGGAGACTTTTTCCAAGTTCCTTGACTAGGCCACGGAGGGCATCAAATTATAGTTGACAAGCAGAAGACCTGAAAAGAGTTGTATTTTTACTTCCAAACAAACAACAAAAACAAAACCAGAAAAATCAACATTCCCAACCCTTGTATGAATTACCCTCCTGAATACTGTAATCATTCCTGGTAAAACAAGAAGGTGACTTGAAGAAAGAAAGGAAGGAAGGAAGGAAGGAAAGAAGAATAGAAGGAAAGGAGGAAGAAAGACTCAACTAATAAAGTAACTCCAGATGTTCAAATCCCAGCACAGAAATAAAAACAATATGAAGCCCTCAAAGTAATGGCTCCCATTGGAGATGATTTGGAAGAACTCTCAGAAAAAAATTAAAAATAACAATTAATAACTGTGGTCAAACACTCAAGACAAAGACCAAGTGAAGAATGAAACAAGATGTCTAATCTAAGACATGAAAACAGTATGAATGGAAAAAAAAAACCTCAAACTGAAATGATTCTGGAAATGAAAAACTTAATAAGCCAATTAAGAATCTCAATGGAAAGCTTCAACATCAGAATGACCATGTTGAAAACAGAGAGCAGGGGAGAGAAACTGAGCAGAGGAGTGGAATAGCTCAGTAAAGATTGATGGGATAAAAGTTTATGAATGGAACATGGAAAGGTTTGGGGCACCATGAAAAGACACAAGCTCTGAATTATGCTCATAAAACAGGAAAGGAAACCCTAGCAGAGACAGGAAATATCTTCAGGAATATCATAGAAGAAAAATTACCAAAACTGGAAAGAGAAATGCCATTCATCTAGAAAGAGGCCTTTAGAATGTGGAACAAACAAAACCAGAAAGGAAATTCTCCATGACGCATTACAACAAAACCATTAAAAACAGAATAACAAAGAAGTATTGACATTTGCAAGAGAGAAAGATCAAGTTATATACAAGACCAGCACTGGGTTGCCTGGCAGAGACCATCAAAGCCAAAAGGGCCTGGAAAGCTGTGCTCTAAGTGCTGGAAGACCAGAACTGTCAATCCAGATTAGCATATGCAGTGCAACTATCTGTTAGAGTAGAAGGAGAAATAACAATGCCCCATGATAAAAAACAGATTATAGGGCTTTATGAATACTAAGCCATCTCTACAGAGGATATGAGAAGGAACACTTCAATCTGAAGAGAAGAACAAATTTACCCAGGAGGTCAAATAATATCAAACAGTAACCAAAAGAGATCTAAGTAAACATAAAAAATAAAGTCAACAAAATGACAGGAGTTACTACACATATTTCAATGATATGTCCGAATATTAATTGTGTCACTTCTCTAGTAAAAAGACACAGGCTGGTAGGTTGGATTATAAAATAAGATCCATTTTGTTGTTGTTGTTGTTGTTGTTGTTGTTGTTGTTGCCTCTAAGGGAAAAAAAAAAACCTCACCATCAGGCGAGCCATCACTTTCTGGTAAAAGTAGGAAGCATGGTATTCCAACCAAATGAAACTGAGAAAAAGCAGACATAGCTATATTAATATCTGACAAAATAGATTTCAGGTCAAAATTTGTCAGAAGAGATAAGCAGGGATTTATTAAGGGAAAATTCACCAACAGGGTATTATATTCCAAAATATACATGCACAAAACATGGAAGGAATTTAATTTTATAAATGAAAGACTGTTAGATATAAAACTATAGATTGATGTTGGCAAGTTGATAGTGGGTGATTTCAGCACCCGACACTTGCCAACAGATCATTTGACAGTGGGTGACTTCAGCACCCGACACTCGCCAATAGATCATTTGGGAGAAAAAAACCTAAATAGAAAAACTTTGGAGCTAAATGGCATTATAACTTAAATGTGTATAACAGACATATACAGAATATTCCACACAAACATTAAAGAGTACACAGTCTTCTCAACAGCCCATGGGACTTTCCTCAAAGGACACAAAGCAAGTCTCAATAAATCTAGAAAGACAGAACCTGCAGGCAGTCTGACCACAGTGGAATAAAGCTGGATAGCATCAGCAAGGGAAATCACATGAGCTCAAGGAAAGTTAACAACATACAATTGGGTCAAAAGAGAAAAGAAGGAGGAAAAATTTAAATTCCTCTAATTGAATAAGAATGTAAGTACAACTAAAATCTATAGGACACGCTGAAGGAATTAGACATTGAGACATTAGAGTACTAAGTGCCTATATTAAAATTTTTGAGACATCCCAAATTAACAACTAATGATATCCCTGAAAGACTTAGAAAAACAAGAATGAATATCACTTGGGAAAAGTAGACAGGGAACAATAATCAGAGTCAGGGCTGAAATCAACAACATATAAACGAACAAACAAACAAACAGTAAAAGGAACCAATGAAATAAAAAATTGGTTTTTTGAAAAGATTAACAAACATTTATTTAAATAAATCAAAAGAAATGAGAAAGAATCTAAATTAATAGAAATAAGAATGAATTGGGAGATATTTTAACAGATGCAGGAAATTCACTGAATTAGGACATACTTTAAAAATATATATTTCACCAAACTGGAAAACCTAAAAGAAACAGGTGAGTTTCTAGATAAATCTAGCATACCAAAGCTAAGTAAAGATGAAGTAAATGAATTTAATATTCATAATATAGCAATGAGGTAGAAGCAGTAACTAAAAGTCTCTCAATAAAATAACTAAGGCAAGATGGATTTAGCACAGAATCTTATCAGACCTTTCAAATAAAAACTAATGCCAATACTATTGTATCTATCACATAAATCAGAAAGCAATGCACACTTCCAGATTCTTCTTATGAATCCTTATTACACTTAT